AATAACTTGCATCTCAGAAGTGAATGAAAAAAATTCCTTTTGCTTTGTAAACTCCCATTATTGGAAGCACCGTGAGTTTAGGTTGACAGAATGTTTAAAGATGAAAAGAAAAAAAAAATGCTCAAAGATGAAACATTACTTCATATTAACTATGCTGCATACAAACTGAAAGATCATCTAAGAATGATCTTTCAGTTTGAAAAGTGGAAGTATTTTCCCCAAAACTTTTTATTTCAAAATCGTATGTGTCTCATAGTCAGATACTGTAGGAATTACATGTAAAGAGTGAAATTATGTAAACTTAAGACATTCAACTTCTAGTTTTGACTCCTTTATTTGATAAACCTTTAATTAGGAAATCAATTTTGCCCATTTGTACCTCATTTTTCTGTTTAAATTTTAGATAAATTATTCTGTATATATGCGTATCTATGAACTGTTCTGAATTGCTTAAAAGAAATTCACAGAGAGAGATGCCTTTAGAAAGAGAGAATTCCACATAACAAATATTTTGACTGATGAATCCAGAAACACTAGATTTCTAGTGACATAAAAAAATAGATTAGTAGGACTGGGATTGTGGATCAGTGGTAGAGCACTTGCCTAGTATGTGTGAGGCACTGGGTTCAATTCTCAGCACCGTATATAAATAAAATAAAGGTTCATCTACAACTAAAAAAATTTTTTTAAAATACATTTGAACCATACAAGAACATTTAATGAAATAAACATTCATTTTAGATGTTATGTTAAATGATAAAATTTTATCAAAACATAATTATATTTTGTTGTACAACACCATCCAATTTGAGAAATAAAATAGATTTCTTAATTTATATTAATTACATATTATATTATACTAGTTCCAACTATTAAGTTCCAATTTATCACCAGTTATATGATAAATTGAACTTATACTTCAAGATGTATATTAATATTTCTAGTCCTTAGAAATTAGCACAGATATAATCCCAAAGAAGAAAAGAATATACAAATAAAATGTGCTATATAATTATAGCAATAAAAATAAATCTAACTGCCCAAGTATATGGGAGTGATTTAGCATATTTTGGAAATGCTTTTTTTTTTTAAGAGAGAGAGAGAGAGAATTTTTTAATAATTATTTTTTTAGTTTTCGGTGGACACAACATCTTTATTTTATTTTTATGTGGTGTTAAGGATTGAACCCAGCACCCTGCGCATGCCAGGCGAGCCCGCTACTGCTTGAGCCACATCCCCAGCCTTTGGCAATGCTTTTGACAGACAACATTAAAAATCATTATCAATAAGACTATGTAGCAATAAGAAAGCTTAAAGAACTACACTAAAGAATATATTCTTCTGGAACTTACCTGCTTAATATATAAAATCAAATATTAATTTTGGCATTTATCCTATTATCTGTCTCAGATAGTGTTCTGTCAGGATTCTACATAAAGGTTTTTTTTTTTTTTTTTTTGCAGGGGGAGGGGGGAAAGGAGGGTTGTTTGTTTGTTTGTTTGTTTGCCCTCAACATCCACAGGGACTGCTTATCTGTAGTGTTCTCACCTTTTCATCCCTCATTACCATTCTGGTACTATACTAGAATGAGGGGAAAAAACACCTACAAAATCTTACCATTACCAATTAGCAAAATTATTGGTCTCTTCCTCATTTCATATAAAAACAACATGTTTAGAAATTAAATAGCTGGTCCAAGTTTACTCCAAACATGATTAAAGAGAGAAACTTTTCCCAATACAGTTCTTGCTTTAGTTCAGAGGCAATTTAAAAAAAAAAAAAAAAAATGCATTGTCCTAGCCAGGCATTAGATGTGATAATAGAAGTAAATGGCTAGAAAAAATGTTTATCTGAGAACTACTAACATATTCCATACCATATACCAAATTTCCATACTCCAATTCATGACTTCAGACTGAACCCAAAGTATTTCTTCAGATTATCCTCAATTTTTCTGTACCCTCTACTCCAAAAATTCTACTTCTTATTAATCTATGGTCTAGAGTCACTACACACAGCTTCCAAGCTAACTTGGTTAACTCACCTTTTTGCTGTGATCTGTAGTCATTCTCGGCTTGTGCTGTGGTAGGCAACTCTAACATGGAATAAATAGCACTGTCAGTCATCTCCACCTAATATCTTTCACATTGAGTTAAGAGAGTTAAATTATAGAAGTATGAGAAGACCTGTCAGTAAGGAAATAGCCTAGTAACTAAACTGGTAGCAGGAAACTTGACAAAACAGAAGTAATTTTTCAGGAAATGATTCAAATTCTGGGGCTTCCTATAGAAATTAACATTCTAAATTGTAAAAAAAAAAAAAACATTTTTTTTGCTCCACCACACTCTCTAGATGCTCATTGTATCCATATTAAATTTTCTCTCAATCTCACCTAACTCTATAGAGCAAGCAAAAATGGTTCTCATATTCAACAATTTTTATTATGGACCCTAGAATAAAAATGAGAGTGGTTCCTAGCATTTTTTCTAAGATTTTTTTCCTCTACTGTTTTCTTCTGAGAAAATAGACATATGCCAAACAGGACTGATTTCACCATTTCTTGTACCGTGTGGGTAGTGATAAATGACAGAGAATTGGACTGTTAGCTGAATGTGCCTATTATCACAGGGGGGAAAAAAACTATTTCCCAGGTATGTTTTGTGAATATGACATACTCCTGTCTTCCCCAAAACATTCTTCCAGGTGTGCTCTAACCTCTATTCTTCAGACTGTCAGAAATTCCATTAATTTTTTTCTCCCTGTTGTCTTATTTTTATAAGAAAAGACAA